GCGGAGGGATCTGAGTGCGGAGGGATCTGAGTGCGGAGGATCTGAGTGCGGAGGGATCTGAGTGCGGAGGGATCTGAGTGCGGAGGGATCTGAGTGCGGAGGGATCTGAGTGCGGAGGGATCTGAGTGCGGAGGATCTGAGTGCGGAGGGATCTGAGTGCGGAGGGATCTGAGTGCGGAGGGATCTGAGTGCGGAGGGATCTGAGTGCAGAGGGATCTGAGTGCGGAGGGATCTGAGTGCGGAGGGATCTGAGTGCGGAGGGATCTGAGTGCGGAGGGATCTGAGTGCGGAGGGATCTGAGTGCGGAGGGATCTGAGTGCGGAGGGATCTGAGTGCGGAGGGATCTGAGTGCGGAGGGATCTGAGTGCGGAGGGATCTGAGTGCAGAGGATCTGAGTGCAGAGGATCTGAGTGCAGAGGGATCTGAGTGCGGAGGGATCTGAGTGCGGAGGGATCTGAGTGCGGAGGGATCTGAGTGCAGAGGGATCTGAGTGCGGAGGGATCTGAGTGCGGAGGGATCTGAGTGCGGAGGGATCTGAGTGCGGAGGGATCTGAGTGCGGAGGGATCTGAGTGCAGAGGGATCTGAGTGCGGAGGGATCTGAGTGCGGAGGATCTGAGTGCGGAGGGATCTGAGTGCGGAGGGATCTGAGTGCGGAGGGATCTGAGTGCGGAGGGATCTGAGTGCGGAGGGATCTGAGTGCGGAGGGATCTGAGTGCGGAGGGATCTGAGTGCGAGGGATCTGAGTGCGGAGGGATCTGAGTGCGGAGGGATCTGAGTGCGGAGGATCTGAGTGCAGAGGGATCTGAGTGCGGAGGGATCTGAGTGCAGAGGATCTGAGTGCAGGGGATCTGAGTGCGGAGGGATCTGAGTGCGGAGGAGAGGGGGATCTGAGTGCGGAGGGATCTGAGTGCGAGGGATCTGAGTGCAGAGGGATCTGAGTGCACAGGGATCTGAGTGCGGAGGGATCTGAGTGCGGAGGGATCTGAGTGCGGAGGGATCTGAGTGCGGAGGGATCTGAGTGCGGAGGGATCTGAGTGCGGAGGGATCTGAGTGCGGAGGGATCTGAGTGCGGAGGAATCTGAGTGCGGAGGGATCTGAGTGCAGAGGGATCTGAGTGCAGGGATCTGAGTGCGGAGGATCTGAGTGCAGGGGGATCTGAGTGCAGAGGGATCTGAGTGCGGAGGGATCTGAGTGCGGAGGGATCTGAGTGCGGAGGGATCTGAGTGCGGAGGGATCTGAGTGCGGAGGGATCTGAGTGCGGAGGGATCTGAGTGCGGAGGGATCTGAGTGCGGAGGGATCTGAGTGCGGAGGGATCTGAGTGCGGAGGGATCTGAGTGCGGAGGGATCTGAGTGCGGAGGGATCTGAGTGCGGAGGGATCTGAGTGCGGAGGGATCTGAGTGCGGAGGGATCTGAGTGCGGAGGGATCTGAGTGCAGAGGGATCTGAGTGCGGAGGGATCTGAGTGCAGAGGGATCTGAGTGCGGAGGGATCTGAGTGCGGAGGGATCTGAGTGCGGAGGGATCTGAGTGCAGGGATCTGAGTGCGGAGGGATCTGAGTGCGGAGGGATCTGAGTGCGGAGGGATCTGAGTGCAGAGGATCTGAGTGCGGAGGGATCTGAGTGCGGAGGGATCTGAGTGCGGAGGGATCTGAGTGCGGAGGGATCTGAGTGCGGAGGGATCTGAGTGCGGAGGGATCTGAGTGCGGAGGGATCTGAGTGCGGAGGGATCTGAGTGCGGAGGGATCTGAGTGCGGAGGGATCTGAGTGCGGGGATCTGAGTGCAGAGGGATCTGAGTGCGGAGGGATCTGAGTGCAGAGGGATCTGAGTGCGGAGGGATCTGAGTGCGGAGGGATCTGAGTGCGAGAGGATCTGAGTGCAGAGGGATCTGAGTGCGGAGGGATCTGAGTGCGGAGGGATCTGAGTGCAGAGGGATCTGAGTGCGGAGGGATCTGAGTGCAGAGGGATCTGAGTGCGGAGGGATCTGAGTGCGGAGGGATCTGAGTGCAGAGGGATCTGAGTGCGGAGGGATCTGAGTGCGAGGGATCTGAGTGCGGAGGGATCTGAGTGCGGAGGGATCTGAGTGCAGAGGGATCTGAGTGCGAGGGATCTGAGTGCGGAGGGATCTGAGTGCGGAGGGATCTGAGTGCGGAGGGATCTGAGTGCGGAGGGATCTGAGTGCGGAGGGATCTGAGTGCGGAGGGATCTGAGTGCGGAGGGATCTGAGTGCGGAGGGATCTGAGTGCAGAGGGATCTGAGTGCGGAGGGATCTGAGTGCGGAGGGATCTGAGTGCGGAGGGATCTGAGTGCGGAGGGATCTGAGTGCGGAGGGATCTGAGTGCGGAGGGATCTGAGTGCGGAGGGATCTGAGTGCAGAGGGATCTGAGTGCGGAGGGATCTGAGTGCAGAGGGATCTGAGTGCGGAGGGATCTGAGTGCGGAGGGATCTGAGTGCGGAGGGATCTGAGTGCGGAGGGATCTGAGTGCGGAGGGATCTGAGTGCGGAGGGATCTGAGTGCGGAGGGATCTGAGTGCGGAGGATCTGAGTGCGGAGGGATCTGAGTGCGGAGGGATCTGAGTGCGGAGGGATCTGAGTGCGGAGGGATCTGAGTGCAGAGGGATCTGAGTGCGGAGGGATCTGAGTGCGGAGGGATCTGAGTGCGGAGGGATCTGAGTGCGGAGGGATCTGAGTGCGAGAGGGATCTGAGTGCGGAGGGATCTGAGTGCGGAGGATCTGAGTGCAGAGGATCTGAGTGCGGAGGGATCTGAGTGCGGAGGGATCTGAGTGCGGAGGGATCTGAGTGCGGAGGGATCTGAGTGCAGAGGGATCTGAGTGCGGAGGGATCTGAGTGCAGAGGATCTGAGTGCGGAGGGATCTGAGTGCGGAGGGATCTGAGTGCGGAGGGATCTGAGTGCGGAGGGATCTGAGTGCGGAGGGATCTGAGTGCGGAGGATCTGAGTGCGGAGGGATCTGAGTGCAGGGGGATCTGAGTGCGGAGGGATCTGAGTGCGGAGGATCTGAGTGCGGAGGGATCTGAGTGCGGAGGGATCTGAGTGCGGAGGGATCTGAGTGCGGAGGGATCTGAGTGCGGAGGGATCTGAGTGCGGAGGATCTGAGTGCGGAGGGATCTGAGTGCGGAGGGATCTGAGTGCGGAGGGATCTGAGTGCGGAGGGATCTGAGTGCGGAGGGATCTGAGTGCAGAGGGATCTGAGTGCGGAGGGATCTGAGTGCGGAGGGATCTGAGTGCAGAGGGATCTGAGTGCAGAGGGATCTGAGTGCGGAGGGATCTGAGTGCAGGGGATCTGAGTGCGGAGGGATCTGAGTGCGGAGGGATCTGAGTGCGGAGAGGATCTGAGTGCGGAGGGATCTGAGTGCGAGGGATCTGAGTGCAGAGGGATCTGAGTGCGGAGGGATCTGAGTGCGGAGGGATCTGAGTGCGGAGGGATCTGAGTGCGGAGGGATCTGAGTGCGGAGGGATCTGAGTGCAGAGGATCTGAGTGCGGAGGGATCTGAGTGCGGAGGGATCTGAGTGCGAGGGATCTGAGTGCGGAGGGATCTGAGTGCAGAGGGATCTGAGTGCGGAGGATCTGAGTGTGCGGAGGGATCTGAGTGCGAGGGATCTGAGTGCGAGGGATCTGAGTGCGGAGGGATCTGAGTGCGGAGGGATCTGAGGGGAGGGATCTGAGTGCAGAGGGATCTGAGTGCGGAGGGATCTGAGTGCAGAGGGATCTGAGTGCGGAGGGATCTGAGTGCGGAGGATCTGAGTGCGGAGGGATCTGAGTGCGGAGGGATCTGAGTGCGAGAGATCTGAGTGCGGAGGGATCTGAGTGCGGAGGGATCTGAGTGCAGAGGGATCTGAGTGCAGAGGGATCTGAGTGCGGAGGGATCTGAGTGCGGAGGGATCTGAGTGCGGAGGGATCTGAGTGCGGAGGGATCTGAGTGCGGAGGGATCTGAGTGCGGAGGATCTGAGTGCGGAGGGATCTGAGTGCGGAGGGATCTGAGTGCGGAGGGATCTGAGTGCAGAGGGATCTGAGTGCAGAGGAGGAGTGCGGAGGGATCTGAGTGCGGAGGGATCTGAGTGCGGAGGGATCTGAGTGCGGAGGGATCTGAGTGCGGAGGGATCTGAGTGCGGAGGGATCTGAGTGCGGAGGGATCTGAGTGCGAGGGATCTGAGTGCGGAGGGATCTGAGTGCGGAGGGATCTGAGTGCGGAGGGATCTGAGTGCGGAGGGATCTGAGTGCGGAGGGATCTGAGTGCGAGAGGATCTGAGTGCGGAGGGATCTGAGTGCGGAGGGATCTGAGTGCGGAGGGATCTGAGTGCGGAGGGATCTGAGTGCGGAGGGATCTGAGTGCGGAGGGATCTGAGTGCGGAGGGATCTGAGTGCGGAGGGATCTGAGTGCGGAGGGATCTGAGTGCGGAGGGATCTGAGTGCGAGGGATCTGAGTGCAGAGGGATCTGAGTGCGGAGGGATCTGAGTGCGGAGGGATCTGAGTGCGGAGGGATCTGAGTGCGGAGGGATCTGAGTGCGGAGGGATCTGAGTGCGGAGGGATCTGAGTGCGGAGGGATCTGAGTGCGGAGGGATCTGAGTGCGGAGGGATCTGAGTGCGGAGGGATCTGAGTGCGGAGGGATCTGAGTGCGGAGGGATCTGAGTGCGGAGGGATCTGAGTGCGGAGGGATCTGAGTGCGGAGGGATCTGAGTGCGGAGGGATCTGAGTGCGGAGGGATCTGAGTGCGGAGGGATCTGAGTGCAGAGGGATCTGAGTGCGGAGGGATCTGAGTGCGGAGGGATCTGAGTGCGGAGGGATCTGAGTGCGGAGGGATCTGAGTGCGGAGGGATCTGAGTGCGGAGGGATCTGAGTGCGGAGGGATCTGAGTGCGGAGGGATCTGAGTGCGGAGGGATCTGAGTGCAGAGGGATCTGAGTGCGGAGGGATCTGAGTGCGAGGATCTGAGTGCGGAGGGATCTGAGTGCGGAGGGATCTGAGTGCTGAAATAACACAGCGCGCAGCGATATCAGCGCGGAGGGATCTGAGTGCGGAGGGATCTGAGTGCGGAGGGATCTGAGTGCAGAGGGATCTGAGTGCGGAGGAATCTGAGTGCGGAGGATCCTGAGTGCGGAGGGATCTGAGTGCGGAGGGATCTGAGTGCGGAGGATCTGAGTGCGAGGGATCTGAGTGCGAGGGATCTGAGTGCGGAGGGATCTGAGTGCGGAGGGATCTGAGTGCGAAGGATCTGAGTGCGGAGGGATCTGAGTGCGGAGGATCTGAGTGCAGAGGGATCTGAGTGCGGAGGGATCTGAGTGCGGAGGGATCTGAGTGCGGAGGGATCTGAGTGCAGAGGGATCTGAGTGCGAGGGATCTGAGTGCGGAGGGATCTGAGTGCGGAGGGATCTGAGTGCGGAGGGATCTGAGTGCGGAGGGATCTGAGTGCGGAGGGATCTGAGTGCGGAGGGATCTGAGTGCGGAGGGATCTGAGTGCGGAGGAATCTGAGTGCGAGGGAGGTGCTGGAGGGATCTGAGTGCGGAGGGATCTGAGTGCGGAGGGATCTGAGTGCGGAGGGATCTGAGTGCGGAGGGATCTGAGTGCGGAGGATCTGAGTGCGGAGGGATCTGAGTGCGGAGGGATCTGAGTGCGGAGGATCTGAGTGCGGAGGGATCTGAGTGCGGAGGGATCTGAGTGCGGAGGGATCTGAGTGCGGAGGGATCTGAGTGCGGAGGGATCTGAGTGCGGAGGGATCTGAGTGCAGAGGGATCTGAGTGCGGAGGGATCTGAGTGCGGAGGGATCTGAGTGCGGAGGGATCTGAGTGCAGAGGGATCTGAGTGCGGAGGGATCTGAGTGCGGAGGGATCTGAGTGCGGGGATCTGAGTGCGGAGGGATCTGAGTGCGAGGGATCTGAGTGCGGAGGGATCTGAGTGCGGAGGGATCTGAGTGCGGAGGGATCTGAGTGCGGAGGGATCTGAGTGCGGAGGGATCTGAGTGCGGAGGGATCTGAGTGCAGAGGATCTGAGTGCAGAGGGATCTGAGTGCGGAGGGATCTGAGTGCGAGGGATCTGAGTGCGGAGGGATCTGAGTGCGGAGGGATCTGAGTGCGGAGGGATCTGAGTGCGGAGGGATCTGAGTGCGGAGGGATCTGAGTGCGGAGGGATCTGAGTGCGGGAGGATCTGAGTGCGGAGGGATCTGAGTGCGGAGGATCTGAGTGCGGAGGATCTGAGTGCGGAGGGATCTGAGTGCGAGGGATCTGAGTGCGGAGGGATCTGAGTGCAGGGATCTGAGTGCGGAGGGATCTGAGTGCGGAGGGATCTGAGTGCGGAGGGATCTGAGTGCGGAGGGATCTGAGTGCGGAGGGATCTGAGTGGCAGAGGGATCTGAGTGCAGAGGGATCTGAGTGCGGAGGATCTGAGTGCAGAGGGATCTGAGTGCGGAGGGATCTGAGTGCAGAGGATCTGAGTGCGGAGGGATCTGAGTGCGGAGGGATCTGAGTGCAGAGGGATCTGAGTGCGGAGGGATCTGAGTGCGGAGGGATCTGAGTGCGGAGGGATCTGAGTGCGGAGGGATCTGAGTGCGGAGGGATCTGAGTGCGGAGGGATCTGAGTGCGGGGATCTGAGTGCGGAGGGATCTGAGTGCAGAGGGATCTGAGTGCGGAGGGATCTGAGTGCAGAGGGATCTGAGTGCGGAGGGATCTGAGTGCGGAGGGATCTGAGTGCGAGGGATCTGAGTGGAGGGATCTGAGTGCAGAGGGATCTGAGTGCGGAGGAATCTGAGTGCGGAGGGATCTGAGTGCGGAGGGATCTGAGTGCGGAGGGATCTGAGTGCGGAGGGATCTGAGTGCGGAGGGATCTGAGTGCAGAGGGATCTGAGTGCGGAGGGATCTGAGTGCGGAGGATCTGAGTGCGGAGGGATCTGAGTGCGGAGGATCTGAGTGCGGAGGGATCTGTGAGTGCGGAGGGATCTGAGTGCAGGGGATCTGAGTGCGGAGGGATCTGAGTGCAGAGGATCTGAGTGCGGAGGGATCTGAGTGCGGAGGGATCTGAGTGCGGAGGGATCTGAGTGCGGAGGGATCTGAGTGCAGAGGGATCTGAGTGCGGAGGGATCTGAGTGCGGAGGGATCTGAGTGCAGAGGGATCTGAGTGCGGAGGGATCTGAGTGCAGAGGGATCTGAGTGCGCGGAGGGATCTGAGTGCGAGGGATCTGAGTGCGAGGGATCTGAGTGCGGAGGGATCTGAGTGCGGAGGGATCTGAGTGCAGAGGGATCTGAGTGCAGAGGGATCTGAGTGCGGAGGGATCTGAGTGCGGAGGGATCTGAGTGCGGAGGGATCTGAGTGCGGAGGGATCTGAGTGCGGAGGGATCTGAGTGCGAGGGATCTGAGTGCGGAGGGATCTGAGTGCGGAGGGATCTGAGTGCGGAGGGATCTGAGTGCGGAGGGATCTGAGTGCAGAGGGATCTGAGTGCGGAGGGATCTGAGTGCGGAGGGATCTGAGTGCAGAGGGATCTGAGTGCGGAGGGATCTGAGTGCGAGGGATCTGAGTGCGGAGGGATCTGAGTGCAGAGGGATCTGAGTGCGGAGGGATCTGAGTGCAGAGGGATCTGAGTGCGGAGGGATCTGAGTGCGGAGGGATCTGAGTGCGGAGGGATCTGAGTGCAGAGGATCTGAGTGCAGAGGGATCTGAGTGCGGAGGGATCTGAGTGCGGAGGGATCTGAGTGCGGAGGGATCTGAGTGCAGAGGGATCTGAGTGCGGAGGGATCTGAGTGCGGAGGGATCTGAGTGCGGAGGGATCTGAGTGCGGAGGGATCTGAGTGCGGAGGGATCTGAGTGCGGAGGGATCTGAGTGCGGAGGGATCTGAGTGCAGAGGGATCTGAGTGCGGAGGGATCTGAGTGCGGAGGGATCTGAGTGCGGAGGGATCTGAGTGCGGAGGGATCTGAGTGCGGAGGGATCTGAGTGCGGAGGATTCTGAGTGCAGAGGGATCTGAGTGCGGAGGGATCTGAGTGCGGAGGGATCTGAGTGCGGAGGGATCTGAGTGCGGAGGGATCTGAGTGCAGAGGGATCTGAGTGCGGAGGGATCTGAGTGCGGAGGGATCTGAGTGCGGAGGATCTGAGTGCAGAGGATCTGAGTGCGGAGGATCTGAGTGCAGAGGGATCTGAGTGCAGGGGATCTGAGTGCGGAGGGATCTGAGTGCAGAGGATCTGAGTGCAGAGGGATCTGAGTGCGGAGGGATCTGAGTGCGGAGGGATCTGAGTGCGGAGGGATCTGAGTGCGGAGGGATCTGAGTGCGGAGGGATCTGAGTGCGGAGGGATCTGAGTGCGGAGGGATCTGAGTGCGGAGGGATCTGAGTGCAGAGGGATCTGAGTGCGGAGGATCTGAGTGCAGAGGGATCTGAGTGCGGAGGGATCTGAGTGCGGAGGGATCTGAGTGCGGAGGGATCTGAGTGCGGAGGGATCTGAGTGCGAGGGATCTGAGTGCGGAGGGATCTGAGTGCGGAGGATCTGAGTGCGGAGGGATCTGAGTGCAGAGGGATCTGAGTGCGAGGGATCTGAGTGCGGAGGATCTGAGTGCGGAGGGATCTGAGTGCGGAGGGATCTGAGTGCGGAGGGATCTGAGTGCGAGGGATCTGAGTGCGGAGGGATCTGAGTGCGGAGGGATCTGAGTGCAGAGGGATCTGAGTGCGGAGGGATCTGAGTGCGGAGGGATCTGAGTGCGGAGGGATCTGAGTGCGGAGGGATCTGAGTGCGAGGGATCTGAGTGCAGAGGGATCTGAGTGCAGAGGGATCTGAGTGCGGAGGGATCTGAGTGCGAGGGATCTGAGTGCGGAGGGATCTGAGTGCGGAGGGATCTGAGTGCGGAGGGATCTGAGTGCGGAGGGATCTGAGTGCGAGGGATCTGAGTGCGGAGGGATCTGAGTGCGGAGGGATCTGAGTGCAGAGGGATCTGAGTGCGGAGGGATCTGAGTGCGGAGGGATCTGAGTGCGGAGGGATCTGAGTGCGGAGGGATCTGAGTGCGGAGGATCTGAGTGCGGAGGGATCTGAGTGCAGAGGATCTGAGTGCGGAGGGATCTGAGTGCGGAGGGATCTGAGTGCGGAGGGATCTGAGTGCGGAGGGATCTGAGTGCGGAGGGATCTGAGTGCGGAGGGATCTGAGTGCGGAGGGATCTGAGTGCGGAGGGATCTGAGTGCGGAGGGATCTGAGTGCGGAGGGATCTGAGTGCGGAGGGATCTGAGTGCGGAGGGATCTGAGTGCGGAGGGATCTGAGTGCGGGATCTGAGTGCGGAGGGATCTGAGTGCGGAGGGATCTGAGTGCGGAGGGATCTGAGTGCAGAGGGATCTGAGTGCGGAGGGATCTGAGTGCGGAGGGATCTGAGTGCGGAGGGATCTGAGTGCGGAGGGATCTGAGTGCGGAGGGATCTGAGTGCGGAGGGATCTGAGTGCGGAGGGATCTGAGTGCGGAGGGATCTGAGTGCGCAGGGATCTGAGTGCGGAGGGATCTGAGTGCGGAGGGATCTGAGTGCGGAGGGATCTGAGTGCAGGAGATCTGAGTGCGGAGGGATCTGAGTGCGGAGGGATCTGAGTGCGGAGGGATCTGAGTGCGGAGGGATCTGAGTGCGGAGGGATCTGAGTGCAGAGGGATCTGAGTGCGGAGGGATCTGAGTGCGGAGGGATCTGAGTGCGGAGGGATCTGAGTGCGGAGGGATCTGAGTGCGGAGGGATCTGAGTGCGGAGGGATCTGAGTGCAGAGGGATCTGAGTGCGAGGGATCTGAGTGCAGAGGGATCTGAGTGCGGAGGGATCTGAGTGCGGAGGGATCTGAGTGCGAGGGATCTGAGTGCGGGGATCTGAGTGCGGAGGGATCTGAGTGCGGGGATCTGAGTGCGGAGGGATCTGAGTGCAGAGGGATCTGAGTGCAGAGGGATCTGAGTGCGGAGGGATCTGAGTGCGGAGGTCTGAGTGCGGAGGGATCTGAGTGCGGAGGATCTGAGTGCGGAGGGATCTGAGTGCGGAGGGATCTGAGTGCAGAGGGATCTGAGTGCGGAGGATCTGAGTGCGAGGGATCTGAGTGCGGAGGGATCTGAGTGCGGAGGGATCTGAGTGCGGAGGGATCTGAGTGCGGAGGGATCTGAGTGCGGAGGGATCTGAGTGCGAGGGATCTGAGTGCGGAGGATCTGAGTGCGGAGGGATCTGAGTGCAGGGAATCTGAGTGCAGAGGATCTGAGTGCGGAGGGATCTGAGTGCAGAGGGATCTGAGTGCAGAGGGATCTGAGTGCGGAGGGATCTGAGTGCAGAGGGATCTGAGTGCGGAGGGATCTGAGTGCGGAGGAATCTGAGTGCACACGGATCTGTGTGGAGAGGAATCTGAGTGCGGAGGATTCTGAGTGCGGAGGGATCTGAGTGCGGAGGGATCTGAGTGCGGAGGGATCTGAGTGCGGAGGGATCTGAGTGCGGAGGGATCTGAGTGCGA